CTGTGCAGCTGCCCAAGTGTCCCTGATCAAAGATGGGGAAGCCACCGTTCTGAGGGCGAAGGTCGATGATCTCCTTCTCTCCTTACGGGACAAAAATGTGTTTTTGCTGTCTCCAAAGCCCCGGATCTCTCATCTTATGTACATGATATCTACGCTGGGCCCTAAAGTATGTATATAGTATCTATCTATCTACCTATCTATCTATCTATGTGTTACCTACCTCTAAATGTGTGGAGCCCTGTAGAGAAAGTCAACAACTGCCCGCTGCCACGCCGTGATAATCCCCTCCCCTAATTATGTCGTTGGCTTATACCTGAACCCCTCAAGTGTGTGGCGTGATGGCCTCTTGGGGCCATGTTTAATGGTTGTGCCCTGTGGTTGTACCACTTTTGGGGTCCAGGTAACGCTTGCAGACTTATAGGCATTTGGGCTGATAATAAATCCCTCCCTCAACCTCCTAATTACAAAACATCCCCTAACATGATGGTACATACTGGGGGCAGTTGTTATTAAGGGAGTGGGGGTGGCTTAGTGATCATTGGGGGAAGGGGATTGCATGTAGAAACCATCATCTTACTTGCATCTGAGTACCCAACAATACTACTCAAGAGGTGAGCCCTGGTACTTACTGTATAGTCTAGGTTGTGAAGCGGGACGGACTCAACCGAATGCAGGGCGAAGGGCCCTCGGCACGTTTCTTGATGTGGCTGGGAGCGTCTACTTTGTCAAAGGTTACCCGGAGGTCACGGTGGTCCGGCATGTCCGGCCGCCATCCGAACTTCATGTTGGTTCGCATTGGGAGGGTCTTCAGGCTGGGATGCTGGGAAGACCGGACCTGGATCTCGGTGCTCTCGGAGTTCACGCTGCTCGCATTGCAGTTGCCCATGGTTGGAAAACGGGAGTCTCAGGGCAAAGGCGGGGAACTGCACGACTGTTTGATGCACCGGGCTACAGCACAAAAACATCATTGGAATCCCAGCAGAACACTCTAGCCATGCAAGGGGCACAAGTCTTCGTTGATGACAACAAGCTCCGGGTGAGAATGGGTAGTGACAAGAACGATCCAGAACTGACATTTACGCGCGTATTGATTGCTCAACATCTGCAAAACACTGTACAAAGTATCGCGTCCATATACGATCTTACCTAATCATACATTAAACTCCCTACATGGGCAAGGATGCGATTGGCCAG